ATTCAGATCTTTTTGATTGGCAGGTACACGTCCATTAGTGACAAGGAAAGTCCGTGCCCCTACGACCAAGTCATCTGCTCCTGTGGGGAACTTGCACAAGCTACCAATGTGTGATAAGTGTGGTAACGGCATAATGTAAGTCAGGCCACTGGAAGTTCATTTTTATTCAGGAATTAAGAACGTTAAATTTATCTCTATGGATATCTCTGATTGGTTCTGTCTGTCTGTTTTCTCAGTGGGACGGTTGTGAAGGTTCAGGATAAGTTTCGTCATCCGGACTGTTTTGTGTGTGCTGAATGTGAAGAAAACCTAAAGCAGAAAGGATATTACTTTATAGATGATGAGCTATACTGTGAAACCCACGCTCATGCCAGGGCAAAACCTCCTGAGAGTCCAGACCTTTGACCTTCTCATTGTTCTTTTGATTACATGAGGGCACAAACTACAAGTCAGCTACTCAGTGCATGAACATCTTGTTTTAACCACAGGCATAAAGTTTTACCACAATTCATGCACAATCATGTCAACCAGATACTGAGAGACACATTTATGAATAGTGCATTGTTGTGTCATGTGTGCTGGGATGCAGTATTTTGCACTTTATAGGAATAGGATGTGTTGACTGAAATATGTTTGTATGAATAAAGGTTTTGTTTTTGGAGAATCATAATATCTCTTATCAGGTGTGTTTGAGCAAAAAGGGGGAGCATTTTCCGGACACATGAAACATAATGTCCAACAAGACTCAAGAACAAGTGTTTTTTTGTCTTTACATCACTGCCGTCATGTTTGATGTGCCTGCAGGTCACAGGAAGAATTTGCTGATTCAATAGGCTATATGTCAAGAGTTACAAGTAAGCATTTATTCATTTCAATTCTGAATTCCTTATTTGTTCTTCATCTGTCATTACTTGTAAAGAAAAGCCTGCTTTGGAATTTTACTGCCACCTGGAGTGATGTAGTGTCCTGCCATGGTATACAATCTATAGCCAAATATATGTATAATCAATACCAACAAATAATATATTTTTTAAACCTGAAAAAAAAAAAA